CATTTAGAACAACTTTTAGGCTACCATACATGTATCATACATGTGTAGCTCAGTTTTGTCTTTTCCCATTTGGGGGTCAAATCCTGGGCCATGTGGTACTTGCTAGGCAAGCACCCATGCACACCACTGAGCTCCATTTCCAACTTTTACAGTTTTTGAGACAGGGTTTCACTGTATAACCCAAGCTGGTCTTGAACTTGGCAGTGCTCTAGTCTCAGCTTCCCTAATGCAGATATTTGCCACCACATCCCACATTTAAAACTCTGAATTCCAAAAAGGCATCCCGCAGGTATACCAAAGAACAGCGTCGGAAGACTTAAACATGCCCCATTCTAAGAGAAACTTCAGAATAGTTCATTTATATGTTAGCACTGTGATTATTAAATAAAACTGTCATATGTAAACACTACTGATGAGAAACTTCAGAACAGTTAGAAATTTATACCCTAGCACCATGATTAACAAAATAATATCATTGGATTCAAACACTATTGATAGCTTAGTACCCAAACCAGCCAATATTCTTTCTAATAAATATGACAAGTCACCATTTATAGGTTGTGGTTTTTTAGAAAACTGTGGATTTGGTGTTCAACAAAATATTGTGGACTTTCAAGTTTAATATAAAAACAAAATGTTGAAGCTAAATACTAAAATGAGCTTTCAGCCAGGTGGTGGTGGCACACACCTTTAGATCCAGCACTTGGGAGGCAGAGCAGGTAGAATTCAGTGAGTTCACGAGTGAGCTCCAGGACAGGCTCTAAAGCTACACAGAGAAACCCTGTCTCGAAAAATCAAAACAACAGCAAAAAAGCAAAAGCAAAAACCAAACCAACCAAACAAAAAAACCCAACCCAAACCAAACCCCCCACCCCCTGGGGGAAAAAAAACCAACTCAGGAGCTTTCAAGTTGAATATAAAAGCAAAAGTTTGCCACTTGTAGTGATGTACTCCCAGAAGTTAGGAGACAGAAACGGGCACCAAGAGTTCAAGGCCAACCTAGGCTACACAGCCAAGTTCAAGGCTACTCTGGGCTACCTGAGACCCTGTCTGAAAAATAAATGCCAAACTAGTAACAAAAACAAAAGGTTACTGGACACTGAGATAAACAACCAATGAAAAACTGCTTCAGGAAGGAATTAGTTTGCACATTTTTCAAAAAAGGAAATCTTAAGAGAACACAGGATTCCAACGTGAGGGACTATTGTTCATGAGGTGGTAGCTTAGCAACTGAATAAATCTTCCCCTTTACGTAAAACAGCAATATCTGCATTTCTAATACCACGCTTTTTCTAGTAAAATTTGAGAGCAGAGTGAAGTCACCTAAGAATCTGTGAGGCTCCATTTAAGTAGTTCTATGTCTGAAATTTTCTCAGACAAAGCGTTTAAATCCTATTGCACCTTAGTTAATTTATGGTACTATTACGATACCTGGCTTAGTTTCTGTTTTTAGTAGGCTGATGTTTTGGAATATGGAGCTGAACTCTGTGGCACTGTCTGATGAGGGTATAACTCTTACCAATTTATTTAAAAAAATCAGCTGTGTGCTGGGACAGTGAAGTGCTAGCAGAAATTCTGTGAAGATGCCGTTTATTTTGGAAACACTTTGCGGTTGTATTTTCCTAGGACTATCGGAGTCAACCTGAACTGTTCCTACGCACGACTTCAAGAGTAGGATGTGCTGGAGAGGTGGCTCGGAGGTTAAGAGCACTGACTGCTCTTCTAGAGGTCCTGAGTTCAATTCCCAGCAACCACATGGTGGCTCACAACCATCTGTAATGAGTTCTGGTGTCTCTTCTGGTGTGTAGATATATATGGAAGTAGAATGCTATATACATAATAAATAAATAAAATCTTTAAAAAAAGAGTAGGACTGCAGGAATAAATTCTAACTTCATTTAGTGCAAGTTTCTAATCACTTTGAACAGCTCTGATGAGAAATATAGTGAATCCTTGAACACAAATGAAGACAAAAACCATCAATAGACCTGGACTTGTTCAATTTCTTATTTAGAACATATTGATGAGCATTTTCAAGGTTGATGGACCTCAGTGTTGATGGTGTCCACATTTTTCTTACTGTGTAGATCCAGGGACGACTTTAAGCTTGATGGTCACTGTCATTTCTGAGACCTCTGAGGAGAGTGTGGTACCTGACAGCGCATATATATTTGTGTTCTCATAAGGATGACAATGGTGAGTCTAGTACTGGGTGGGCTGGCTTAAGGCTTGCCCATGTGGAGTAGGTATGAGTTCTCTTGGTGTTTGGTAAGAGAAGAGCTGTGTGTGGAGGTTTTGCCACAGTGCCTGCACGCATGTAGTTTCTCTCCCGTGGATCCTCTGGTTCTGACTAAGATCGGAGCTCTGACTGAAGGCCTTGCTACAATGCTGACACTCACAGGGCATTTCCCAAGTGTGAGTCCTTTCCCACTGGCTGAGTGATGAGCTGTGGCTGAAGGGTTTCCTATATTTCCTTGGTTGTGAGTCTTCTGGTGTTCTATAGGAAGGGAACTCGGGCTGAAGGCTCTGCACTCACTACATTCAAGGAGCTTCTCTCCTGTGTGTCTCCTCTGATGGTGAATGAAGGGCGCGAGCTGGCTGAAAGCTCCGCCCCATTCATTGCATTCATGGGTTTTTTCTCCCCCCCCCATGAATTTGCTGATGTTTTGTTAGAGCATAGCTGTGGCTGAAGGCCCTGCCACAGTCACTGCATTCATAAGGTTTTCTCCCCTGTGCTATTCTCTGATGCTGAAGTAAAGTGTTCTACCTAAAGGCCTTCCCACATTGGCTACACCGACAGCTTCTCTTCTGTGTCTGTTCATGCTGGCTGAGAGGGGAGCTATGACTGAAAGGTTTTCCACACTTTTGGCATTTGTAGATTTTTCTCTCCACTATGAATCCTCCGGTGCTCAGTCAGGAGGGTGCGCTAACAGAAGGCCTTCCCATGCGCACTGCATTCAGAGGGCCTTCCTTCTGTGTGGGTTCTCCGATGCTGACTCAGTGGTGTGATCTGGGTGAAGACTCTGCCTCATTCATAGCATCCATAGGGCTTCTCTCCAGTGTGGATTTGATGGTGTTGGGTCAGGGATGAGCGATGGTTCAAGGCCTTGTCACCTTCCTAATGACAGGGCTTCTCTCCATCGTGGATTCATAGGTGCTGCACCCAGCACCTATGTGGATAATTGC